GTTGGATTGTTGGTGATTGGGGTGAGTCCGACAATGGCAGGCAATTTGTTGGTGCAATTCCCTCCCTTGAGAAAAACACATGATACAATGGCGCCGGGCACACCCCCGGGTTTGCTCGTTTGATTAGTTACATATAGTTTCCTTGTTTAGGGACCATAGCAACTGAAAGTTGAAGATCATTCCCATGAGATGCCAATAATATACATGCATAACTTACATAACATTGTTATTATAACTGGTGTCACTAACATACATGACTATAACCAACACTAACGGTTGGCAACATGTGACATCTAACCAACAATAAGTCTGGGTAAGTTATAGTATTTCACTAACTTGAATTAAGGCCATTTGGGGATGATTTCCCTAACAGAAACCATGATTCCCAGTGAGGTCGAAGTGAGAACCTGTGTTTTTTCCCCTGGGATCCAAGGGCAAATCAGGGCCCTTATGATGTTCATCTCAGACTCCATGGAATTTCCGCCAGCCTATGAGATGCAAAAAAATGTGACCAACCCTACAAATAAAGCGCTTTGAGAGTGTTGTATGACATGTTCTCCCATCTGTATAGATCAACATGATTAACATTTGCTACAACATAGCCATTCACATATAAAACTGGTGCTTTCACAGAAGCATGGCAAGAATAAAGAGCTGGAACCAAGCATGTGACGTAATACGTGGGACACGTCAAATAAGACCAGGTTGCATTCTTCAACAGTATCACCGCACAATACCACGCATTTTTTGATGAATGTTTAATATTCTGAACATAAAACCATATAAAACCCCAAAACGAATTGGTGCCCTGACTGATGCTTAATTCACCAGTGCTCCTTGGTCTGTGACCAGGCATACCTGTCAGGCACCAAACCACCTCGGTGACGCTGCTCGGCATGTGCCCTGCTTGGGGGAGTGGTGGATCTGGAGATTTTATGGTGTTTTTGAGGTCCCCCACAATCTACAAAAACTGCGGTGATTATTAAGGTGATAGCATTGAATGCTTGGATTTAGGTGCTGTTGAACTGAAAACGAACATGGAATACAAGATCGGGACCCGACTTTCACAGGAAGGACCCTATCTAACTGCTATTTCCAACCTAAATCCTACACTCAGCATCACTCAGCCTAGTTTTTTCGTTTAAGGGCCTTTACTGTAGCTATTCCCCTTTATGCCCCATTGTGGTTGGTTTATATAGCCAATATCTTTCACCATGTGTACCGGTTATCAGCTTCCACATCTGCTACCGAGCGGCCGTTCATTTCGTCGGCTTTGGGCTCCTGGTCAGGCGGCTGGACCCAAGTGCGTTCAAAGTTGGGAGTTGGATGACATGATCCAATCAACATCTTGTCCGTGAAGATATAAAAGTGCAAAAAACAAATCTACAAATATTACTGCATATGATCTTTTATACCATTTGTTGTGGGTCTATCATGGTCTATCTAATTGAATCTACTTGTATAAGAAAAAGTGCAATACTGACAATACAGTGATTCTGAAGTCACCAGCCTTCAACTGCCATGACAATCAAAGGTTTCCCACCAGACCACGGGAACCCTGGGACCTGGCACCTTCCACCCTTGGCACCTGCGCCCGCGCAGGTGTCGGTGTGGCATCAACGCTTTCGGCTTGGGCACGGGCAGCGCGAAGTGTGTCCTACAGCAGTCATTGGGTTTCTGTGGGTTTGCTCTGATTTGACGAGATATGACATGAGAAATAGGTTTTTGAAATTTCTGGAGAATCAGTTTTTTTGACTTTCTTGGAGTTGACTTTTTTAGTTTCAGGGGATCTGATCAACGATCATCATAGGTGATCATCAGTGGGCAAACTATTCACAGAATCATGGGGAGATCATGAACGATGGTCAAATAAATGGTGCCACCATATACCACCTATCAAAAACCCCAGCTTTCAATGCTTAATTCAACCATGATTCATCCGTATATATTATACATACATACATATATATATATATATCAAATCTACATCCATCTACAGGTTCCATCTTGAAATCCAGCAGAAACGTAAGATATCTGGTGGCATGCTTCCAACCCCAGCGTTTGCACATTTTCCATGGCGCCCCACCTGCCTCCAGTCCGGGACAGCCGCCAAGGCGCATGGCCTTCCAACGGGACTATCCCACTTGGTGGTTCATCCCAGGAATCGTAAGTGGGTTAGTTCACCCCAGTTATAAGTGAACATTGCCCCTACAAAACGCCCATTTATAATCAGGGTTATAGCTTACTAACTGGGATGAACCACCAAGCAGTTATCTCTTTTTTTTGGGGGGTGGGACTGTTGGTAATCGAAACATGTTAACATCCAAGTTTTCCTGTTTTTACATACACCACTTCAAACTTGGATTTGCTTAAGGCCCCCCAAAAAAAGAAACAAAACATATTCCCTATAAATTCCCCCGTTCTCCTGGGTTTCCCATTCGAAAAATAAACAAATGATCGACTCAACAAATCCAAGTTAGGATTACATGGGGTGTAATCCACGTACATGGGTTAAGACATTGATACAACGGGGGTATATGACCAAGAATATATTACCCCACTGACTGGGCTTCGTAAGTTTAGAAACTGAACTTAGATTCCTGGGTTTCCAGCTGGTCTATTGAGTCAGAGGTGCTGATCTTTGCCGAAGTTGGCTTACAACTAGTACAGCTAGGGTTTACGGTAGATATATCGAACTATCTAAAACAGCTTTCAATTGAATAAAAGGTCTTTTACAGTACATGGTTTCCTTAGTTGCAAGAAGAGGTCCTCAAAGTATGGGTAAGTTGATTGTAAGTAACTAGGCTAAGTGTTGGATTAAGATGGATTTATGATGCATGTATTCATTGGTCGGGTTAAAGAAATTGGAACCCTCTGGTAAACTAATATAGCTATTGAAAATGGCTCATTTATAGTTGATTTAACTAATTACCTATTAAAAATGTTGGTTTTCCATATTTTTTTGTATGTTTTACCAGAGGGTAACTGGAGGGAGCTTCCTATTTGGTCCCCAGCCCCTTTTTAAAAGGCAACCGCACCACCCCTGTACGGCTGCCGCCTTCTCCAACAAGCGGATGCCTTCCGAGACGTCACCGTTCCTGGCCAGGTCAGGTTGCATTGGAGCAGAAAACTCTGAATCTGGAAGGACTGGGGTCTAAAATAAGCATAAATGAACAAATATTATATATATATACATATATTTTTACAATCTATATTTGGATCTGGTGTTCAGTGCAACATTGCAACATACGGATCCAACCAAGTTCAAACTATCCAATCCAGTAGATGACTATGTTCCATGTCTCTGCAATTTGCATTTGTGTAGCAAATGCATATGTTCAACTTCCTGATAAACAAATCACCACAAATACGCGTTAATGTGTTAGACATTTTTTGACATATCTTTCTTTAGAGGGCAAGAGAAGTAGTGGCAGTTCGTGACGGTTCGTGGCAGTGGTGATGGTCATCATTCATTGATGATAGTGATAACATCAAACGGTGGTGATGATAATAGTAATGATAAAAAGATTCATGAATGTTCCAAAAAGTAGATAATTGGATATATATATATATATAAATACAACGCACGTGAACATAACAGAATGATCATAGAACATCACCAGACAGTAAAAATACTGGTTTTGACTCTTTTCAATCTCCGATCATCACAATTATCAAATCCAACATTAAGTTATGAATGTTATACTCCCATCAATATTCCATCCATTATAACTTATCCAGAACCATTCTAGCAGCCCCCTACTTGGTGGTTCATCCCAGTTTGTAAGTAGGTTATAACATGTTATAACATCTTATAACCCTGATTATGAATGGCCTAAGTAGGGGCAAGGTTCACTTATAAGTTGGGTGAACTAACCCACTTACTAACTCCAAGTGGCGGATGCACTGGGGTACCTAGCCAAGTACGTGGATGTGCTTAAAACACTTGCGGTACAAGTCCTGGGATGAACCACCAAGTACCGGCCCTACCGGCCCTACCGGCCCTACCGTCCTCAAGGCCCTTTCACCCAGCGCGCGGCACTGCAACACGTCTTCCCGGCGATCGTCACCATCCACCAGGCCGTCGTCCTGAACCAAGGGGTTCATATGGGGGTTCCTAGAATGGTGGTATCCTAAAATGGATGGTTTCTATGAAAAAAACAATCCAAATGGATGATGAAATGGGGTACCCCTATTTCAGGAAACCTCTATATGGGTTTATGTTGGTCATACCCTCTGGTAAACATACAAAAAACAGCAGAAAACAATGGAAAATCACCATTGTTCATGGGTAAATCAACTATAAATTGCCATTTTCAATAGCTATGTTAGTTTACCAAAGGGTATGTGGGGGATCCATAAATGGGAGACCCTGAATGGATGGTTTATAGTGGAAAATCCTATTAAAATGGATGATTTGGGGGTACCTCTAGTCACGTGAGGGTTTAACAAACTAAAACGGCCAAGCCACAGCCAAATTAGAGGAAAACGCTCATCATAGGAATCCAGGAAATCAATCTCACTTCAAAGACCTTGCAAGACGATAGTCTATTCTGTCCACACGATATCACGACAGTATATAGCCTTCATGAATATGTCTGAAAATAAACCCTTCAAAGCCAAGCCAACCCAAGACACCTACTATGGGGCGTAACATTGACCCACTTCGGGCGCTTGCAATGTAAGAGCTGGTTCATGTTGGTTCGCTGATCACCTTCCAAGATAATCCTTTGGTGGGTCTTACATAGTGCAATCCACCTACACCCAGAAACCACTAAGAATCAGGACCTGTAGCGATTTGTAGCGAGCTAAATCCACCCATTGGGGGGTTGTTTCACACCAAGCTGCGTCCAATACCCTCCAGTAAACTAACACAGCTATGGAAAATGGCCTTTTATAGATGATTTTCCCATTAAAAATGGTGATTTTCCATAGTTATGTAACATACAAAAAGCTATTGAAAATGACCATTTATAGTGGATTTACCCATAAAAAAATGTGATTTTCCATGACAAGCTGTTAGTTTAGCAGAGGGCATCCCATTCTTTCAGAACCCCCCTTGTCACCGTGTCACCACACCTCAGTCTCAAATGGCTCATCATCATCCTCCTGGCTGATCTTTGAATTCTGCCGACGAAGCAATGTGGATGTGTCTGAACATGGGATAGTCTGCAGAACCTTGTAAGTTTTAAACGGGAAAATGGCTATGAATGTTATGACATATATAAAATATAATATATATATATATATATTTATTTATTTATTTAGTGACTGACCATCAAATTTGTGGATACCCCATGTTCAAACAAACCCATGTGAACCATTGTGAACCTATGCTTGCTGTGGATTTCTGAGTCATGAATGCCGCAAACCAAGGGAATGTCCAAATTCAATCTGTAAATTATCTCAGCACCTTGTAGATGTTCCATGGCGACCTGTGTCTTTGGGCACCCCAAACTCATGAAGAAATAGTGAAGCACTCTGTCGTTCAAAGTCATTCCAGCGAAGACCATTGAAACTCTGGAGTGTCCACACGGTGCAGCATCCAGCGTATGGTCTCTCATGGGGTGGAGCAACGGTCTCAAGAACGCTGCGCTCGACAAGATGACCACGGGTCCCTGCGTCGTCAAACGGATCCATGAAATGGATATGGTCGCCGAGGTTGTTTTCATCTTCGTTGATGTAACCCAAGGCAAGCGCATTATGCCAGCGGTGACCGGTTTCCTTGACCTCGACGTTGATGAAGTTCCGCAGCCCGACCCCCGAAGCCTTGGTCAATGGTGTTGTCGTAGTACTCCAGGCAGGTCTTCATGCCGCTGGTTGACCAGTCGCTTGATCTCCGTGGCAAGGACAGCTGAGCTTCGAACGTTGGCGATGAAATCATCGCTGAAGCCCCGCTGTCGCTAGTGTAGGGGCTGCTGATCTTGACGCCACTTGCGGATGTGTCGATGCTGCTGCTCTTTTAAGGGTCAGTATGGTATGATGAGCACGAAAGTTCTATAGGAATTGATTGTACGAAGTTGTCGGTTTTCCAGATCGAACAGCATCTGGGGGCAGATATTGGTAAATCACAGCATGTCCAAAGCAGAAAATACGCAATTGTTGGTTTGATTTCCGGATATTCCCCCCAGCAATGACTGACAATCAGTAGTGGTGGGCCCACAAAGTCATTTCAAACCTTTGCTACTTTGAAACATGCTGAATTCTGAATTCTCAATTGGGTATCTCTAGTTTCCTATTTATGGCACAAACAAAACAGCCGAGTAACTTTCCAAACCACGTTAAGCTCCAAAATTTCTCCAAATAATTTCCCTCCTACAAGCTCCTATTGAGCTAACCTCACGTGAACAGTTGTATTGCACATAGGTCCTAAATCCCCGCTTTACAAGCAGGGAAACATAACAACACTACGAAAACAACAAATCTTATGGCAGGTGAAGAGGCCAAATACGTGGCTGACCCTTCGCCAATAGACGGAGGTGGGGACTCAAACAGTATGTGCCTCGTTACCCCGCTTGAAACGACAACTGCTATCGTGTAACTCCTCAGGATTGGGGGGGACCTCAAGACCATTTCCTCCCCCACTGATGACGGGACCCTGTACGTAAAGGAAGTACTATAGTGCTGTTAAGGATCAAGGCAAGGTCGGGACACCCACTACGAATGATCTGAGGCATCCCCAAAACTGGAGGCTTGTTGGACCAGGGCTTTACATCCACCTCCCACGTCTTTCCAACACCTCCATCTCGACGTCAGCAGCAGCTTGACCCTGTGACGTCTGTTGGAATTCTGGGCGGGGTAGTGGGATACAATGGATCACAAGTTTGCCATAGTCATAGGTTGGGCATTAATTTAACCATATTGAAAAATGATGGAGTTCGTCAATGGGAAGGATGACATCCCATGTATTAATATGGACAGTCATAAAATTCATGTTTGAAACCACCAAATGGCTATAGTATGGCCATATACAATGGATTATAAGTTGGCTTATAATGTTTATAAAGCCATTGGTTTTAAGAAGATAAATCACCGGGGTCAATGTAGTTCAATGATATGTAGATGAATTGCAGCACTTCACTACATAATTGTTTATCGGAATCAATGCCATTTGGAGAGTTTTTTCGCTCAATCCAATTCCAATCATTCCACTGACGTGGCAGTGAGGTCGTTCTAATTTTAGGAAGCCTATCGTTAGCTACTTCCTGCAACTATTCCCATATTATAGTATCATATAATTATTCCCCACGTTGGTTGATTTAAGCCTCATGTTTCACAATTTCTGCAGGTTAAATGTCCAAGTTTGTGAGGCTCGAGGCAACTCTTGTTGATTTAACCTTCGATTGTTACAACTTGCCATGGCAAAATCCCCCATTTTTTCCCGCACCAGGCACCACTTTTTTCCGCTGGATCTCCACCTGTCCACCGATGGTCACCGTCTGCGGCGCGTCGAACTTGGACACGTGCGGCCGAGGCTTGGGCGCTTCGTCGTCGCTGATGTCCTCAAGTGCGGGGGGAATCATCGCAGGAGTGGCAAGTGATGAGATCATTTCTGGGATTGGGTACCTAACAGTTGTATACAGTTGTACCGTTATACCATTTTTTAGTGTTTTTGCATCATTACTGAAGTTCTTGGGATTGATTTCATGGGTGTAACCAATGGGATGAGATAATTGGTGGATAAATGACCTAACCAATTATCTCATAGTTGATGGGGTATTACCTAATACCCATTTATAGGGATTTTGCATAATTGCATCTACCAATTGTTTTGGGATTAAGGGGTTAATAGTCAGCAAACGTCAGCAATTTTTGGGACAGTAGTCCCAATCATATCTGCATATCTACCAAGTATATGATGAGTTTGTTACTGGGATTCATGGGATTTAAGTAATGGGTATAACTAATGGGACAAACAAGAGGCATTGGGCTTTAACACGGAGACTTTGGCATATTCCAGCAATAAACAAAGCCATCCCCAAAGGGAAGGCGCCAGGCAGATCCCACTGAAGTTAGGATCTGCGGTGGGCTATATCCCACCATACAGTATCTTGGCAATTGCTTGATTATCATAAGCATCTAAAATGACATACTGCCCGGTAAATTCAGCATAATTGCTATTGAAAATTGTTGTTTATAGTTTATAGCTAATTTACCTATCAAAAAAACTGTTTTTTCCCATAGCTATGTTGATTTACCGGAGGTACCCCAATTACAAACCAACACAAACCACCGATTCCCCAACTTGGTTGCCTGGAACATTTGCAGAAAACCTTTCTATATCTCATGGTTTGCTACCCTGTAATATTTTAACAAGGCCAGTCCATTGACTGATCCATCACTTAAAAACGCTAGCCTAAGATACCCTGGGGCCCAAAATCCTCAAAACACATTTTTTGAGCTTATCTAGTTAGATCAATGCCGTATATCCCATTTTTAGCGTAAAAAACGGGTTTATGCAGACAGACCACCTAGGGCCCCAACCAGCTTGTCCCATTTGGAGTAGTCGACCATGGCGTCCCAAAATGCTGCACCAGCTGCGCCGTTCAAGCAAAACAACAAAACCTGCTTGGTGGTTTGAACTCGAAGGAATGTGAAGGATATGAAGGGGGGTTTATCTCAAAAATGTTGCAGCATAGTGATTTGGAATCCATGAAAAACGGTTTGAGGCTTGAAAAAACTTGTCATCCAGTATTTCTGAAATCCCCAACTGTAAAGTTGTTTTTTTGGAGTACCTATGAAATGTTGGTAATTATAGTATGTCTCACCACTTTCACTTTTCCAGGTCGTGTGAGATGCTTACTGTTCTGTGCGCAAGAAGTGCTAGTGACCCAGTTGCTTTGCATGTGTTCAATGTCCACAACCACTGCATGACTGGCATATCTCCGAACCGCGGCGGCGTAGAAGAAATGAGCCAACTCTCAGATTTGGGGGAACTTTTGGAAGTTGAAGCCCATTCAGGTACCTAAAATGGTGGTTCGGTGCCTTTTCCAGCCATATTTTGGGATCCATTCCCATTGACATATGATTTCCGAAGTACTGTGTAAGTTAGTAATGAAGTCCGAAATGTCAAAACCCTCAAGAATTCTCTGGCTCAAAGAATTCAACAAATTTGTAGTTTTCAACCCTAAGAATCACCAACAATACTTTGTCAATTTGTTTGATCCCCCGTTATTGGCTCATTACAAATGGGTGTCTGAAAGTGGCTTGTATAATAGTCTTTAGCTGCGAATCTCCACTGGGCCATGGGGATATGTCATTGAATTCTCAGCTAATCTTTCAAAGAAATGCCCTTCAAAAAGGAAACAAAACGCATTTCTTGAAAAAAAAATCATTTTCCCCCAAAATGGCCCAAATGTAGGTAAATATTCCATACATGGAGCATCTGGATATGCCCCTCAAAGAGGCAAACATGTCACAATGTCTCAAATCAACCTCGCATTAACTCATGGCGTTTACCCACGTCCCCTCTGGCAATCAACCCTGGCAGTAGGACATCAATGAACATCACTTAACTATAACTTGGTTTCCTTACAGTATATTTTCCTTGTATAATTGCCCATTGATCTTGGCTCCTTGGCCCAAGAACTCCTGTTAAACGGTGGCGATTTCCACAGCGCCAAGTTCGATTCCCAGACTTAGGGGGTGCAGTTCCAGTGAACTAAGTACACGTATTTATTTCATCATAGATCCCAACTTATGGAAGTTATTACCATGGTTATACCGATGTTAGTCGCCCCCAACCATGGTTGATCCCCATGATCATTCCATGACCATGCCATTGTTATCCCATTAACTCCCAATTCTTCACGGTCACCCTCTGGCAATCAAACGTGGCAATGGAAAATGCCTACAGTATCAATGGAAGTTGAAAGCTGGGAGAATCTTCGAACTAACTGGTGGGTGTGCAATTTGGACTTTCGATTAGCGGAGGGTAAACTTTATATCTCTGTTCAATCCGTATTATCCTATTAAATCCCCATTAGCTGCCAGTTCTTCACGCGGTACAACCTGATATCTTCTGGCAAACCCAGGTAGTTCAAGGACCATCCCCGGCGCCACTGTCGCTTCAATTTTGGGCCCGCTGGGCGGCACATCCAGCCGCACCGGACGCGGCTGAAAGGTGCTGCGGCACCTGAAGCAGCTGAAAACGGGAAGTGGTGTCATCAGGGGGAAATCATTCGCAACAAATTGGTACTTGATAGAATTCGATATTGTTTTAATGATTAATGATTACAGTAGGTATCATATTGTATCAATTTTATCATCTATATCACCAAGAATGCAGATTGAACCACAAGAAAAAAGGAAGAGAAACAGATAGAACCTCGGTTAGATTCGGGTTAGATTAGGGAAGCTTCCCAGCCGAGTAGACCGGACAAATTGTGGCATGGTTGGGACTAGCACCAGCTACAACTTCTTGGAGCACCAACCCAGAACTCGGAAAATTGTAGTGGCTACATGGACAATGGTTACCATCAAACCCGGGTAATAAGCCCTGATGTTTCTTCGGGAATGTCATTTAAGTTGCACAAATTTGCACAATGCGCACGCAGATAGACTCTACTAAGCTACTCTTCTTTCGACTTTGCAGCTTTCAGAGGGCTGTGCCGCAGACTCTATTACTCCTCTAATGTTAAAAATACATTTAAAAAAATACCACATGGTCTGGATGTCGCATTGGTTTGACCCACCCATCCACAACCGCACCACAGCGCCCCCAGGTGGGCTCCTGCACTTCGAATCCCCCAAGGCGGCAGCCCTGTGAGGACTCCAACGCGGTGCAGCCGAAGCTCGTCAGCTAGTGCTGCACCTTCTGGCTGGGCCCATTCTCCCGGCTAACAAGCAGGTGGTGAGGGCAGGGTTATCACCAAAACTCACAGGAACAAACATGTCACTTCTGCCGTCAGGCCCTCAAACATATCATGGCTGGGCTCAGTTCTGGGTTTGAAACATGTGCATGTCTCACACGCTACAATAGAATTCCTCTCGGTCAACTGCCAACAAAAAGGGTGGACACATCCCTGCAGTACCCAAAAAATAGAATCTGGAGGAGCCACAAGGGTCTGCAAACCCCAGCTGACATACAATCTCTTCCAGCTCTCAAGATCTCTGAAAAAAAAGATTGAAAATCCTTTTAAGGTCAGCGAGCAGGATACTTTCCAACCAATGCCCGGACAAAGACCAGACTACGAGGTCAATGAGGTTTATTTTCACTGCGAGAGACTGCTTCTCGATTCAGCGCTACTAAAAGTGCACCGATTCCCAGTCCCAGCCCTATATAAGGAAAGTAAGTATAGCATCAATCAATCCCGATCGTGCGCTTTAAAAATAGTCCCAGCCCTATAAGAGGCAAAAGAGGAGGGATTAGCGTCGAACACAAGATCAGTTCAGCAGTCGGTATGACAGACATGAACCAAAAAAAGTCTGCTCCATCCGGTATGAACCAAGAAAAGTCTGGATAATGCAAGCTGCGGCCCCTCAGGTCTGCTCCATCTTCATTGATAAACACCATGCCTCTGTAGTTGGTTCGGGCTGGGCAGTAGTAAGATGGACGTAATGCAAGCAGAGCCCTCTCACGAATCACCATGTCTCTGCCTCGTTCGTTTGCAATACTGCGCCCCGTCAGGTTCCACTGCAAATACTCTGTGAAGGTTACTCCCACCACATCGGGAGAATTACTGCCTCTAGCACAGGATGCTTGCACGGCAACGTCTTCTCGGCCCAGGAGAGCAACTTCATTCACCATGTGCCCCGACTCACAGGAATCAGAAACAATCAGAAGATGTCGAGCCGTTCCCTCATCTTTGGCCAAATCCCATTGTTCCAAGATGTCATGAAGCCCCAGCAACCTGCCATCAGGCAATTTCCAAGAGCCTGCATGCCCGCGGAAGATTCCACACAGAACGTGTAGAAGGGACGAGTGGGAGAAGAAGTCCCTGATCCAGTGTTTGACTAGGTCCAGTGTGTGAGGTGCGCCTGTCATTGGGTGTTCCCAATCCACGCTCCGAATCAAGCCGATCAGGCCGTGATCCCCATCAAAGAATTTTAAAGACATCAACAAAGCACTATGGGATCTGTCTGGGACGATTGTATCCGCAGGCTCTGGGGCCGTTGCATTTTCTGGGGCGGTTGCATCCTCAGGTTCTGGGGTAGGTGACCTCGGGTCAAATAATTCTTCTGGCCCTGATATTTGGCTGGTCGTGTCAGATGTATCAGATGCCAGTGAAACACTGTGGGACGAGCTTGGGTCCGCTCCATCTTCATTGATAAACACCCAGCCCCTAAAGTTGCTTGGATCTGGGCAATAATAGCATGGGCCAAACCGAAGCAGCGCCCTCTCAATATGAATTAGCATGTCACTGCCTCGTTTGTTTGCAGTACTGCGCCCCTGCAGGTTCCAAAGCAAATACTCAGTGAAGGTTTCTCCCACCACATCGGGAGAAGTACTGCCTCTAGCACAGGATGCTTGCACGGCAATGTCTTCTCGGCCCAGGAGAGCAGCTTCATTCACCATATTTCCCGATTCACAGGAATCAGAGACGATCAGAAGGTGTTGTGCTGTTCCAAGTTCTTTGGCGAAATCCCACTGCTCCAAAATTTCAGCAAGCCCAAGGGTGGTACCATCAGACAATTTCCAAGATCCCTGACGCCCATGAAAAATTCCATAAAGAACATGTACATCGCAATGTATGGAAAAGAAATCGTTGATGTCTTCTTTGGCTCGGTCCAGAGTCAGCTTCCTGCCGTAAACGCATCCAGTAGGCACATTTGCCCTGCGGAAGAATTTGCTCAACTTCTCTGCATTGTACCTGGCACCTGGGAGTGGGTCCTCTCCAGGGACTTCACAAGACAGCACCAGGGCCTGCCTTTGTGGCGCTTGATTGGCCATGACTTTGTGGCCAACAGCATTCAGTTCGAGCAAGAAATGTCAACCTGAACGTGCAGAACCATCACAGATCATCCCAATATGATAGCCCAGTTGCCTAACATTGTAAGCTGCCGCTTTAAGGGCCCGTAGATTCAAAACATGTTCAAGTTTCCATTTGGAAAGAAAATCAGCATCCTTCAGCACATCCTAAGAGGAATATTGAGATCATATCTCGCACTCTCAAACTCAGCCACAGCCATACAAATTGAGCCTAACAATTTAGACATCCAAATCCACATGATTTTCTTGCTGCATTAACGCGACTAGACTTTCACAACATGAAAACTGAAGGGGCTATGTGACATTCGAACCTGACACACAGGGTTGCTCCCAACACCACGGGTACAAGTGGGAAAATTGGCGATATATCGTTAATTATAGGTAAAATCACAATGATTCTTGCCGTGCTCATTTACGTTTCATCAGTTGGAGCACGTTGGAGCACCCCTGGTGGCACAGGCAACCTGTGGAACCTGGTGAGACTAGACTTCCAAGCTGGCACCTGAGCCATCCAGGAGGAGGATCAGGTGGCCAGGTGGAGATCTCCTGGGCGGTTTCAGCGCGTTTGACGAAGGTCAAACCGATAGCTAAGTTGGCTTGTATGAATTTATATAACTTGGCTAACTAGGGTTTATGACACATATATCTACAGTTATTGGTGATTATAAATCACCGGTATAGCAGGGGGGCACAACCTTGTAATATATGTTATAATTAGAGATAATTTATGATATAATTAGTCCCTACCAAAAAAAACACAAAGACAACTTGGTTTTTTGTCATGTTTAGCACTGGATCTATATATTTGTTTTGGGTGCCCAAAACTGGGCTCATATGAAAGGATTCTTTGATCACCTCAATGGGTGGCCAATCATTTTGAGATACCATGGAGAGCACCCGGAAATTTTCAAAGATTCCTGGATTTTTTGCATGTTGATCTCATCCAGGAATATCCAGGACCCGCATTCATTGGGCTGGAGAAATTCTGGCAGGGTCATCTGAAGACAAAGTTCTTTGGTTTCGATTTCCCGTATGAACAATCATCTGAAAATACTGGGGCTTAATGAGGTTTCGTCGTTCCAAGCCGAATCTTGGCACGACTTATCATGCCAAAGTTCTTCCAATGCCTGGGCTGCCGGACAAAAGCTTGGAGCAGCCGAAGTCAGCTAACTTCGAAGTCCGAACCGAAACGCGCTGATCAATGTTTTGGACCCCCCATTCTTGGCTGATGACAACTGCCTGAGAGTGGCTTGAATGGTGATGAGCCGCGAATATCGTAAGTTTTGGGGATATGACATTCAATTCGTGGCGAAATTACACAAATCACTGCCCTGCCAAAAAAAACATATCACGTGGTTCCAAAACTCAATTCGTGGCTCCTTTGGCTTCTCATGCAACACAGATACGGATATCACCTAGTTCCCTTCACCACTCCCCTCCATTCACCACGGGATCGAACATGAAAACGAGTTTCTTGAAGGCAGGAAGATAGTTCACATTATCACAGAATTGCACGATGAGAAGATCGGAAAACCCATGGGTTTTCAACAGATTTTCCCTCAAACCAATCCAATAAGCCTCTATGACATGTCCAAATCCCACCGAATAATCCATTAAATCCCATCAAAATGCCAGCAAAACACCATTAAATCCCATTGAATCACCATTTAACGTCTATTTTTGCTGGTAAAATCACCCCAGTACACCACCCTGCTCCGCTGCGATTTCTGTTGCGCGCCATCGCCTCTCCACAGTGGCCCACAGGGCGGCACATCCAGCCTTGTACCGGACGCGAGTTACGGTTGCATTACGTGCGGCGGCAGCCCTAAAGCAGCTGAAGATGGGGGAGTGGTAACAAAAAATGGTCAGGTCATCATATAGTTCACCAAAAAATTGGGGACTGTGATATGATGTGATGATATCAGGAAAAAGGGAACGAAAATCAGAAAAGGGATGCCTAACATATATGTGTTATGATTAAAACTGGTCAAATATCAGCAAGAATGCTGGATGGATCGAGGAAACTGGGCATCGGAATTGAGATTGGTGGGAGTAGCACCAACTACAATTTCTTGGATAGCCAGGAATAGCAAATGCATAGTGGCCATGTATCTACTTGATCTCAACCCCAGGTTGAGAAACTCCTAGGTTTCAGCAATCATCTGGCACTATCTCCAACGCTCACACTCTGGCAAAGAACGTGGATGCATTAGAAACCCGACCATATTCCATGGACAAATAAGATCCTGAATAAAGATCTTTTCCACAACTCGGTTAGATGTAGAATCTGTCCGTATCCAGCGACTTTTGTAATGCAACCAGCTAATTCATCCCATTGAGATCCATTGAGAAAATGGCTATGTCTTACCATGTGGGACCTATGGCCATCTATGTTTCGCCTTTACGGGGAAAACGACACATCGACACAGTTACGAAGGTGCGCAGCTGTGCGCTTCAAAATGCTGCACCTGACCGCCGCTTTGATCGGAGACTGTCTTCCAAGCGATGTTTGAATGGCAGGACTTTCGCTTTAGAATACAGGGAAATGTAACCAACAATATGGGGATATAATGCGATATGTTGGGAATATCAATGGGAATGTAGATGAATGTAGTGGGATATGACATGATATAACTATGGCAACTCCCAAAAAAATGATGAAACGTGTGCCCAGGATGTGACAAAGATACCTATAATTAGTGTTTCTTCCATACTCCCCAGTAAGCTATCATAGCTGTGGAAACCCACGGATTTCCACAGGAAATGATCTACAAATGGTCATTTTACATAGCTATGTTAGTTCTCTGGAAGGTAAACTACCATTTGCTGATCCACACCTGAAAAATGTTTGGACATCTCAGCTTTTCAGTTCCCCCTTGAGTTTGGCATACCCAAAATCTCGGACATTGCCCTTAGAACCTCCAGAAAAGGCACTGGTGGAAGAGCCGAGGTGCTGTTTTCATGTGAAACGAATGGTTGACTCACTTCAAATCTGGATCCATTTCCATAGGATCCATGTATGGTATATATGCTAACATAAAGGGGGTATATTGATGGTAAATGTTACCATATATACCATACATGGATCCTATGGGATTGGGATCTTGAAAGAAAATTCACCAACTCTGTCGTCCCTGCCATCCGTTCTTTGCATCCAATCACCGTGTTGCGGGCGCATCTGAAGGTCAAAGGCGGTAACCAAAGCATGACATGCCATTGGTGGCTGGAGCTTTTTCCCTCCGAACCATTGGAGAGCCATTGAAAACAACACTCCAAGGTGGTACCCCAGTTCGTTAGCTAAGTTGGTGAACATAACTCCAATAACTATGGTTTATGGTACTTATAACTATAGTTAATGGGGTTTATAAACCATCTTATAACTGAGGGGGCACCACCTTGTACTGATGGGTTACCAACATCTTCTCAACATGTGCCTCGACACCAGCCCACTTGACCGAAAGGCTCTGGAAAAAAATCCACGTGCTGGCGACATCACGACGTGAAGGTCGCAGACTTATCAAGGTGCCTTCGCGGGCGAATTTACACACGGCAAATGGCTTCCAGGAATCACTTGGTGTTAACGCTTCGGTTTGGTGGTTTCAACTGATACACTTCAATGGATTGGTGTAAGATGGTTTCAGGGAAAGTTTGGAGGACCCCCCTATATTTCACGGGAAACCCTGGTTTATGGTTCAGATTTTGCCTTAAACCAATCCATTGAACACTGCGAATCTTTCATGCACATCATATATCAATGGCCATTTCAAGAACCTAAATTGGAGGTACCTACCATATATAAGGCCTATGAAAGCCCATGTAAGGGAATATCCCCACAAAATATGGCCTTACCATTGAATATATGACGATGTTCAAGTGTCCCACTTGATGGACTTCTTTCCTTCCACAGATCCATTTGATTCCATTTGCCACGGCTGAGGTTTGGAAGCTCTCGCCCGTCAAGTGCATCGGGTAGCTCGAGGTGATCCATCCTGTACCGGCATTGATCAAGCAGTATTTAGCCAATAGGGTCATAAATCATTCAACGATGCCATTTTATACCTCATAATGCGCATTTTAAGGCTTAAAGACCTACTTGTGTACAACTCCATCTATCATGTGTTAAATGCGTTTTCAGGGGCCATTCGTCTAGCATCATTACTTGATTGGGATACGTCTTGGATCAAACATTCTGACCAATTTGACAAACTGATGGCCATCTGGTGTTTCACGGCTGCCCCTGCATATGACGGCTGAGCCGCCCTCACTAAGTACTGAGACAGGGTTAGAGGCGACGCAGCTACGCATCACGCTCCGCCACTGCCGCAGGGTCCTTTATATCAAATGCGCAAATGCGTGCCCCGTGTGGGCGAGAAAATTCCACATGCCGAGCGCTTTGCTTTGTGCTGACACGTCATATAACGACAAAGCCGTCCCTGCCGGCCCTGCCCTAGGAGGCAACAAGGATACTCTGAAGTCTGGTGTGAAAGGGCAAAAAAGTGTAACCCACTTTTAGTATCTTTTAGTCTCAATAGCCCATAAAGGGCCAGTATATGCCAGTATATTATGGCCCTTTATGGGCTATTGTCGTCATTAATGCCCATACAAGTGTAACCCACGACTTTCAACATCCTGTGGCATCATCGTACCACATGCACCAGTTGGAATCACAACAAACTCCGCCACGTAAATTTCGCTTGCAAAAAAGGCTTCAAATGCATCATGGCCAATCTTGAAAGTTGAGTAGTACAAAATAGTACCAATTAGTATACATATTTCAATTAATGGTCAGACATTTAAGTGATTTACAATTATTTACAGTAAGTATATGAAAGTACCCATCCAAGTATGACCCAAATACATCCAAATACTACGGTTCACGCTTCAGCAGGGTCCGACAGGAAGGCATGGAAGGCATAGGCGGGAAAGGCTAAACGCAGCACGACTCACAGCGAATTCAGGCAATGGAGGAGTGACATGCGATGGTGCCATCACCA